AAACAAAGGCACAGAGGACTCCCTTAAACCAAAGGTAGTATCTGAAATATCCTGAGTAGTATCTGTTCTATTTAGGTTATAAGGAGAACTAGTACCATCTGACTGATGATCCAGTATCTGATTATTACTAAACTCATCAAAAAATGACTCAGACTTACCAGGCTCATCATAGGAAAAAGGATCAACCCCATAAGAGTTCTCATTAGTCTTACCAAAAAACAAAGCTTTGCATTTTGAATGGAAAGACAGACTCATAAAATTTTATATCCCTGAAAAAAAAAACAGAATTTGAGTCAAGACTTAACACTTTATAGCCTTTCTATTCCAAAGAATATCCCAAAAAAACACACTTTTCAACTCTAGCAGCAAATTTATCACTATTATTCAAGTTTGTAGAAAAGCACAAACATCCAAAGACACGAAGATTATAAAAATTGGGATACCGTTTATAAACAGTTCATAGAGGAAGGTGTCCTATTAATGCGAAAGACGGAAGTAAGAATAGCATCACCCCAGTATTTTAAAGGAATTCCTGACTGAAACATAAGAGACCTAGCCACGTTTAAAATATGCCTATGTTTTCTCTCCACAACACCATTTTGTTGTGGAGTGTAAACACAATATGTCTGATGAACAACTCTGTTGTCTTCATTAAAATCTTTTACATGAAGATTTAAAAACTCAGTTTCATTATCAAACCTTATAGTTTTGACATTAACTTCAAATTTTTTTTTATTATTTTAAAAAAAGTAACATAACCTTGATAAACTTCTTCTTTGAACTTAAGAAGAAAAACCCATGTAGCTCTTGTGAAGTCATCAACAATAGTTAAGAAAAACCTGAAGCCATCTACAGATTCTACACGATATGGTTCCCACACATCTAGATGAATGAGTTCTCCTAAGAACTTAGTGACATGTTGACTATTGTGAAAAGAATCCCTAGTTTGTTTTGCTTTATGACACGCGTCACAAGGATGTAATGGAACATTACTAAAATTAAGTTTTTTTAAGCACATTTAAAGCTTGATTAGCAGGATGACCAAGCCTGCTGTGCCAAGTGAACTTAGAAACACAACAAGAAGTTTTTTTTGGAATGGAGGACTTATTACCTGATAATGTGGGATCAAGATAATAAAGACCCCCATATTGATTACCAGCCTCCACCTTCCCCTTGGACTGTGAATCCTAAATGTAGCAATTATGCTCATTAAAAACAACTTCACACATACTATATTTGCATAGTTTGTGAATAAACAACAAGTTTATATTGAAATCAGGAACAACAAAAACATCAAACAAAGTTAAATAATTGGACAAATGTAAGTTCCCAATTTTGTTGATTTGGGCAGAAGACCCATTTGGGTGACTAACTCTTAAATTCAATTTTGAAACATCAACTGAATCATGAAGTAAGGACTTAGAAGTAATCATATGTTGATTTTCTCCTGAGTCAACAACCCATTTAGAAAAATTGGAATTAAGTAAAGAATTTCACGAAATACCTGCCATGTTGGCACTAGCAGATGATTCATCCAATCCTTTCTTATTGTCACCAATGAGATTAAGAAACTTAACATATTACTCACTTGCAAGATAATGACAATCAATACCATTATTAACTTCTCTAGCACCAGAAGACTCCCAAAAAAAACCTTTTGTTAGATTATTAGATTCAGACCTTGGTTTATAATATTTGGGGTATCCAATTATTTTAAAACACTTTTCTATAGAATGACCCTTTAAACCACAATTCTTACATTGAGGAATTGGACCCTTAGATTTAGATTTCCTTTGATCAACAAATTTAGACACAAAAGCGAAAGAAGAGGTCTTATTGTTAGAACTTAACAAATTTGACCCATGTTATTTATTAGAATCTTCACGAGAAGCTAAGAAGAAGGCAGTTTTAACAAATGGAAGAGGTTCCATTAACAAAATGTGACTTTTAACTTGATTGTAGGACTCATCTAAGCAACTTAAAAACTGCATTAGCTTCATTATTTTTGAATGATTGTTATAACTAGTAGAAGCTTCACAGGTACAATCAGTTAGATTAGTTAACCTATATAATTCTTTCCAATAAGAATCAAGTTTATTAAAATAATTTGACAAAGACGAATTACCCTGAGTAATTTAGTTAATTTTTTGGTGCACATTAAAAATGACAGACCCATCAACTTTATGATAGGTTTCAAATAACTTAGCCCAAACTTCTTGAGCACTCTCAAAACAAGCATGATTAGCATATATATTTTCAAAAATAGACCCAAGAATCCAGGAACAGGTAACAACATTAGCCCTTTCCCATTTGGATTCTTTAATGGGATCATTAACAGTTTTGGACACAATTCCATCAGTAAAGCCAAGTTTGTTTCGAGCTTTTAAAGCTCTAATCATGGAACTATGCTATACTCTGTAATTCTCAGTTCCTAATTGTTTAAAGTTAATCACACTAGTAATTGCATTATCATAAGGATGAACATAAAGATGATCATCTATATTAACAACAAATTCATTTTTGCTACTACTAGAAGACTCATTAGTTGGACCATCCATAACAACAAGTAATCAAGCAAACCAAAAAAATAGAAAACAGATAGAAAACAAATAACTGCAATGACTAATTCCAGATGATATCCACAGTATGTTGGGATAAAAGACCGTCAAGACAGAATTGGTAACAAGAAACACAAAATACACAAGAACAGATAAACCAAATCAACTAATAGATGGTGTACCCAAGACACCGGAATCTCCCACAACCAAACTAAGAATGAGATGTAGAAGGGAACAAGATACACTTACAGAGGTCCTATTGGACACGTTGAAGAACATTTTTATGGACCGACTCTCGTTATTCCATTCCCTCTAGAGTTAATCGGTAAAGAATTCCATTCTCTAGAGAGTTATTTCAGAACATAACCGAGATTAATTGATCGAAGAAAAACCATCGTGATTCACCAGAGGAAACACGATCTTTGGTCTAACAACAGTAGCGAAGCTTCAAGGAATCTGAAAAGAAGCATAAAAGCTCGCAGTAACCAAGATCTTAACAGAACAAAATCTTTGGTCTAACCAAGATCTTAACAAAATCTTTGGTCTAACAACAGTAGCGAAGCTTCAAGGAATCTGAAAAGAAGCATAAAAGCTCGCAGTAACCAAAATCTTAACAGAACAAAAAACGAGAATGAAGTTTTGACTTAGGGTTTTAAAATAGAAAACCCTAGATCGGAATCAAAACTCCAGATCTTCACAAATTTCATCAAAGATTTAGAGTTTTATAAGAAAAGTCTAAACGAACCCAGACTAGGAAGAACAGGAATGATCAAAAACAAAGAAAAGGGAAATCGACTATACTTCTTCGAAGAAAAGCTGATGACTTATCGGAGATGCAAATCGGAGCACTATGCTCTGACACCATGTAAAAAAATAGACACAATTTTTTGCCAACATAAACAACCCTTATATCATTAGAAGATTAAGAGTCAGAAGGTTTTCATCAACTTACATAAGAACCTTACTACAGAAAACCTACACTACTCTCACAACAAATCACACATCCTAATCTATCAAAGAACTGAGTAAAAAGTTTAATCTAGAACAAACAAGATACATGAAAATCTTATCGTTGAACTGTGAGAACAAGAGAAGAAGATGATCTCTAAAATATGTAAAGAGAATGAATGATGGATTCAACTCTCATCTTCAATATATAGTCGGGTCATAGAAGACCCGAAGACCCGCATACAAACCCATGCTGATATGACCAACTTTCACTCCAACCCTTTAACTAATTCAGATGATTACATACACCCTGTAAATAACAAACTAATACAAAATATACCCTTACCTCCAAAATGTTAGTTTACAATAAACAAAAGTTATTAATTTTAACACTAATTGAGACAGTCGATCAACAATCTTTAAATCTTCATAAAATGACAAAAAAGTGCAGAAATTGCGTAAAAATCGACTGGATAGGATTTCGATCGTCTGCAACAATCTAGGGTTTGACTGATAGGACACACGATATTTATATAGCAAGCTTGGCTATAAATAAGGGCTCTGGCAAGAGGCACGACCCGTGCTAGGGAAGCACGACGTGTGTTTGGAGGCAGGTGGAGTCCATATGCATTTAAATGAAGTACATTGCCAAAACGAGACTTAGTTTAGAAGCAAGAACATGAAGCACAACACGTGCTTTGGTGTACAGGTCGTACTTTGTCATCGCAACGTAAAAATCCGAGAAAATCAGAAAAATGGACTTCGAAAGGGAAGCACGACCCGTGCTTGGGCTTTGTTGATATCAGACTCTAGAAAATCCTTCACAAATTCTTTAGAGGTGGAGTACGGCTCGTGGTTGGTCAGCGAAGTATTTTAAACACTCATAAAAAATTCAGAATTGCTTTGGTTAAGTTTCGTAAGTGGAACACAACTGGTGTTTGGTCTTTCTTAGCGTTTCGGCTCCAAATATGCTCGAGTAATATCCAAGGGCTTTCAAACTACCACTCCACTTCAAGTTACCTGAAATAGACACCAAAACTTGAACAATATGGGAATTATTTCAAAATACATTAGTTGCCTATTATTTAAAGGAATGCGAACATTTAAGCATAAAATATGATGCAAAATACTAATAAAAACTAATATAAAAGATGCATAAAATGACATCTAACATTACGTTGAAATATACTGAGACACGTTTACAAAACAATGTCACTACTAAAATTACCCTAATTTGAATTAATTATTTAGTTTCTATAATATATGTGGATCAACTAAGTTGATGATCGGATATATTATTATATATATATATATATATATATATATATATATATATATTAAAGTTGTGTTAAAAGATGAATAGTGAACTTCTGTTTTTTTGACATAAATGGTCCCTGTATTATTCTTGGAAGTAGTAAGGGCATATTTTGACATTAGGTTTATTGTTTGTGTATACGTTTTAGCAATCTACCGTGTCTTTTATCTTCGCCACTGTATTGAGTGTGCACGTCTTCACGATCGTCCATCAGATGATATGTTCTGGATTCTTCTGATATTTCTGCTTCATACTTTTCTCGCCACCAACTACACATTTGCTTCCACCGCCTTGAACTGCTTTTCTCTACGTCTTCTGTGTTCCATCCTCGGATCCACTGTCGATCGTTTGGGGATTTTAGGGCTTTCAAAGCGAAAGGTCCCAGCAACAACTCATCACTTCCTCAATGACCATATATCGCTGAATTCGGTTCTCCTCCGGGTAAGTCCTTCTTTTACTTTTCCTTTTGTGTTTTTCTGCCATACCCATCCCGATCATTAGCTTCGACCCATCTCCAGCTGCTTTCCTTCTTTATTGTGAATCCCATCTGCAACCGTTCTATTACACAACATAAACCCTCACCCTTATTGAGTATGTCGACTTTTAAGAGACACAATTTGAGTTTTCTAACCCTAATCCTCTATTTTATCTTCTGCAGTTGAAAAGTGACGCATAGACGGACGATACCATATCTGTCACCTCCGATTACGGAGCGTTCATGGAGAAATTCACTCTCCCCCCGTCGCCAACAACTTCTCTGGCTCAGGTCGCCTTCAGTCGCCGACCTCCGCCATTTCCGTCCTTTTGTTTCTCCTCTTTTTCGATTCCATTGGCCCCTATATATCCGAAACACGAGCGCACACACATCCTGCTTTGATTCTCGCTCATACACACATATATAGATAAGGGGACGAAATTTAGGAAGTGTATACAACTTTTTTCATCTTGATTGAGCAACCAACATACATAGAATGGACGTAAAACCGGAAGTTAATAGTGGCGCTACAGAGGAGAAACATAATCGTCCACCGCCGGTAATCGATGCTCCCACTAATCCCATGGTTACGCCGCTGCTCAACGATCTCTATCAGTTCACTATGGCTTACGCGTACTGGAAAGCTGGAAACCATAAAGAACGAGTTGTGTTAGTTTCTCAATTCCTCTGTTTTCATTCTATAGTTTTGATTTATGCGATTTGTTTGTTTCTAGATGGAATTGATTACACTGGCTTTAGGGCATGTAATTTTGAAAATAATTTGGGAACTTTAGGATTGATATGTTATCTGCAATCTGTGACTTCTTTCAGATTTGACTTATATTTTCGGAGATTTGACTTATATTTTCGGAAAAATCCCTTTGGTGGTGAGTACACAGGTTTTGCTGGTTTAGAAGAGTGAATAAGATTCATTGCAAATTTTAAATTATCGAAGGAAGAGATTGCTTTTGTTCGAGAAACTTTATCTCCTGCATGTGAGGTAAAGCTTCAATTCAGATTTACTGAAACTAGTCCTACAATACTTGATCCTCATAAAAACATAATCAAGTTTAAAGATTTGTTCATTCATCTCAATTTTCTTCTGTTGATATCAGGATGCCTTATTTGATTACCTTGAAGGGATTGATTGTTCCGATGTTGAAGTGTATGCAATTACAGAAGGGTCAGTTGTCTTTCCTAAAATACCCCTGATGAGAGTTGAAGGCCCAGTAGCTGTGAGTCAATCAGTCAAACACACTGTTCAAGATAGTTTTTGAAAGAATGTGAATTGAAAATTTGAAATCCATTTATTTATATTTTGTTTTCTTACAGGTTGTTCAATTGTTGGAAACTCCTGATGTGAATCTTATAAATTATGCATCATTAGTCACCACAAATGCTGCAAGACATCGTTTTGTTGCTGGAAAATCCAAACTTCTTCTTGAATTTGGACTACGAAGGGCACATGTTTTTGTTATAATACGAGTAAATGACCATTTTACCCTTCTTTTTTATTTACAGAAGTTTTTGTTTCTTAGGGCCCAGATGGTGGTATAGGGGCATCAAGATATTGCTACATCGGAGGATTTGATGCAACAAGGTGTTCACTATATTAATTATGTTCAAATTGTTTATATATATATTGATATATAACAAATAACAATGTAGAATTGTAACTTATATATATATATATATATATATATATATATATATATATATATTATTTATCGTGAAATGTTAGCAATTGTGCAGCTGGAATAATATTTGGAATACCACTTCGTGGAACACATTCCCATGCTTTTGTTAGCTCATTCATGGTTAATACATTTTTTATTGATGATTTTTATTATTGGAGTAAATTATATTTTTGGTGGCCGATTTTTTTCAATTTATATCCAAAATTTGTTTTCTTTAAAGTTTTATCATTTTACCACTTTTTGTACCTTTAGTTTGTTGATTTTCACAGATATGTCCGCTCGAAAAACTTTCTGGCACACTTTTCTTCCCCGAAGTGGATACCAATTTAACCAATAAATCTCACCTTTTTCTATTTTGTGTATCCCTTTACGTCTCTTTCTTCTATTTTCCATTAACTTTTTTTTTTGGCTGTACTTGTAACTATTTTTTTATTTGGCAGGTTATAATATGACAATATTTGTTTGTTCGTTTGTTGCAGGCATTTATCAAAACTTGAAATATTGAAGCGTAACGGAAAGGGACCCGAAAGCATAATTCATTACAAAGAGGTGAAACAAACATAAACACAACGGATTCCATTCCATTTCCAACGAATCATTAAAAGTTAGTGGTTTCAAGGGATTTTGATGAAAATTTCCCGTGTTTACCGTTTTGGATTTTAATGACCTTTTTTTTAATGGTAATTAAAGATAAAAATTAAAATTGTTATAATCCTATTTGGGTTTTAATGACCTTTTTTTTTTGGTTAAAGCAAACATATATTTTCTAGATAGACTTTCACTTGCTATAATTGAATAAATTTTCCAAAGTATAATGCTGCAATAGGAAGAAATGGAAGCATGTTGTTATTTATTGCGTTAACACATTTTTTCCCCCACTTGCAGGCTGAAGGTTTTTTCTGGATCAATATAAACATCCAGGAAGCACATTTAACAGATCAATTGAGTAATGTTGATTGTTGGTAATTTATATATGTATCCATTCTCTTCTTTAAGACCATAATAATTTGGCAAATTGGTAACTAAACTATTGATTGTCATGACCTATAACCTAATTTGGCAAAACAAAAGGCTTGCATCTCATAATGTTTTCAAACATGGAAACTTCACTAAAATATCATTATTTTATTTATTATAAACCTTGCATGCTCTTTCAATTATCTTCCTGTCATAAGGTCATGTAAAAATCACATAAAATTAGAGTAGAGTGTAAAAATGGGTTGACTGTTTTGACGACATGGAAACAAGAGTTTGGAATAGTTAGATAAGCAATAAATTTTTATAAATATCAGATCTTTGAATTTATTTTTGGTTGTGGGTGTTCTTTTTTTTTTTCTTGTAATTTGAGGTAGAAAAAAGTAGTGGGATGTCATTCCTCATAAACTGCAGAAATTGCAGACATGTGAGTACTTTTTGTTGTTTTTAAATAAAATCTTTTTCTAAACTATATATGAGATGAAATAATGCATTTTAATTTGCTTATTATATTTTAGTAAGAAGGGAACCACCACAAGTATTCAGATCGTACTTTTACACATTGTTTTGTAGTTGGTTCACTATTGCAAAAGGTGGTCATCTCCTTGGCAACAGACCTCGCTGAATGGTTATCAGAAGTGGAGAGTTGCAAGGTAAATTCTTTTTAGATGTAAATTACAAAAAAAATATTCATTCATATGAGATATTCGTTGTCTTCTTCTTCACCCACCATTGGTCTGACACCCCACCACTGTCCAAGAACAATATAGTGTTGAGGATGTTTGTTTTTTTGAAGTTGTTCACCTTCAATTGATTGTAAGCTTTTTGATTTCTCCTTATTTTTGTTGAACAGTGTCTCTATTTTCATTTGATTTTTAATTTTTGATCATTTGCTTTTGATTTTTAACCCTAATTTTCCCCAGAATATTTTACTTTGTTTTGACACAGTCAACACGGAAGAAAGAGAGAGGAAAATGGAAGAATTTGCATCTTTATAGAGTTACCAAGAGGTGGGTTATGGTTCATCATACATTCTTTGATTGATGTTTAGTTCTTGAGTATAAAGATTCGGATTAAACAATATTAAGTTCAGAATTGAAGTAATCTCTTTTGGGGTTTTGCTAATATGTTAATTGATTGCGTCTCTTCTAAAGTTACAAATACCATGTGAAACCATTTTACACAAAATAAAGAACATTTCCCTTTAGATTCTTCTTCAAATTCTCAATTCTCAGATCCTTGTGGATTTTTGGTCACATTCATGTACTTTGACTGTATGTTTTTATGCAAAAAGTCAAATAAATGGTTTGTATAGAACCTCTGTAATTGCATGTTCTGTTTATGTTTATTAGATACAATGTTGAGATAATTATTTCTGCCATACTTATTTGCATCACTACTGGATTTTTTTTTGAGTAAATGTTTATGGGTCTATTTTATATCTAATATATGTTTATATTTTACAGGTTGATAGTTCAAACGTCAGTATTAAAAAATAAATAAATATTAACTAAAATAGAAGTATTAAAAAAGTTGGAAACTATGGTGGCGGGTGCTCAGAATGTGAATGGGGTTGCAGTCGGTCGACTTGAAGGATATTTCGGTAATTCGAGGTTTTGTTCTCAGGTTACTAATGCTTATGGCAATGGAATGGAATCACAAAAGAACATTTCAATCTCTACAATCATGGATTCCTTTCCGGTTTCATGTAAATACACTATAATATTATTCTTTTTTGCTTCTCATTCCCGCTTTCATATATATTCCCGTTCATATATATTGATGCAAGTATGGAGTATGTATTTTGTTTTTTACTCATAATAATGAAAATCTCCTCATCTAAATGCAATGAAAATCCCTTCAATTTAATTGTTTTTATCCTCTAAATTTACCATATATATAATATATATATATATATATATATATATATATATATATATATATATATATATATATATATACATGTTACAAAATAAAATATCCTTTAAAACACAAATATTACTTCCTACTACATACTAACAAATACGATCACCAACGACACACTACCTATGACTATACGATATACATAACCGAAAACCAAAAGACTAAAACCCTGGTCGTAACCGAACCCCGCGGAGCGGGGTACCCCAGCTAGTTTTACATTTATAGGAGTTAACCTATGTTGCAACTAAAAATAACATCATATTAAAATTAACCAATTAAATAATATTAGTTAAAAAACTTTTATAGGAGTTAACCTATGTTGCAACTAAAAATAACATCATATTAAAATTAACCAATTAAATAATATTAGTTAAAAAACTTGTTAAGTTGTAGTGGGTTAAATTTTAAAGAAGTTAAATGATATCGAGAAGGGAAATGATTTATATACAACAATTTTTATCCATACATAACATTTTATGCTTAATAGAGTTGTACAATACAATATTTTATAGCAATTTTTAATAGAGTTGTACAATACAATATTTTAAAGCACAAATTGCTATGTATGGAAAAATTTGGTTGTGTACAAATCAACTTCTATTCTAAAATTATCATTTAATTTTCAAATTAAGTTTCATTAATTTAAAAGACTTTTTAGTTATAATACTTAAGGATAAGTCGTTAAGTTTCTATTCTAAAATTATCATTTAATTTTCAAATTAAGTTTCATTAATTTAAAAGACTTTTTAGTTATAATACTTAAGGATAAGTCGTTAAGTTGAAGAGTTAATCATTTAAGTATTATTAGTTAAAACTGTAGTATGTAAAATTATAAATAATAAAATTTTATTAAGACTAACCAACACCAACACTAACGACATATATTTTAATTAAACAATTCAATATCACTATGTAAAAGACATTTTGATTTTTAGTATTCAAAAGGTAAGGTTTTAGTAGTTTAAAACAAATATGATCCGAGATACAAGTTTATCTTGAACCACATGATAATAGAAATATGTTATAAGATTTATAATAATCACGATATATATAAATTTATTAGATTTTAAAATAATTCTACAGAATAATATGATTAGTAACTTAAATTAAACATAATATTAAATAAGTTCAAATAATAGAAATAATGAAAATAGTATCAAATACTCATTACAACCCATTAGTAATTTCAACATGGATATTAGATTTGCTGTATTTTTTTTGAAGCAAAAATTCATGAAGCTTGCGAACCACCTCTGCAATCCTGTGCAGTAGAAGAGGTGAACCAAACGGCTGCAGACTGTAATAAGAAGTGTGTTTGTTTTTTTAACATCTGCATGCTGCTGCAGATATTAATAATGTATAACATATCAGCAAGAATTTATGATATTTCAGCAAAAAATAATGATATTTCAAAAAAAAAAAAATAAAAATAAAAAAATATATATATATATATATATATATATATTTTAGCAAAAAATAATGATATTTAATCAAGAAATTATCATTATTCAATATGAAAAATCAAAAAAAAAAAAAAGAATTCAACAAGAATAAACAAAAAAAAACGAAAAAAAATGTAAAATAAGATTTCAGCAACATATCATCAAGATTTCAGCAAGAAAAAAGAAGAAGAAGAGGTTGGAAGATGCAATACAAGGTTTGCGGCAAACAAAACACGCGCATAAGTTTTTTTACTCTGAATACTTCTAAAAAACAAACATCTGCGAAAGTAAAAGTGTTGCGCGTGTGCTGCGCCGCGCAACAATAAGAGGTCTCAAGATGTTTTTTTTTTAAAAAAAAACAGCACCTAACATATCTTGGTTTGAGTAATTCGCTGTGTTCCATCCATCTTGTTCTTCTTCTCCACCTTCTTTGATTTTTTTTTTTTTTTTTTATCATCGTTAAATGTAGTGTCTAGATCCATTCCATAAATAATTTGATATGAATGTCACATTTTTTTATGAAATTATATACTACAAAACATGCAATTGCGATATTTTTTTTATACTAGAAACTAGGTGTGAATCCCGTGTACTACACGGGTTGTTTAAAAAAAATTATATATGAAAATATAAAGTTTAAATATTTTTTTTAAAGAAAACATTAAATATCAATAAAAAACAATAAAGTATGATTATTTTTTTTAAATAGATCATTTACCTAAAATTACAATGAACTTAAAAAAACATGTCAATTTTGAATTATATATATTGAAAAAAACATATTAAAATTTGAAAATATAGGGAAACAAATTAATAACACATTAATTACTTTCTATAACCTAAAAATTAGATAGTTAATTAAGAAAATCAAAAATTACCACAAAATGACAAGTGGAAATTAATTTCTAAGAATTAACCATAAAATTACATGTGTTCAAATGCATAAGAAATTGACAAGTGACAAAAAGTTATTTATTTATTAGGGAGGATGGATAAGAAGTCATACGTTTTACTGTTGGAAATATTCTTTCAAGACACCGTAAACACATTCAATAACATTTTATGGTTGATGATGCACATGATTAAAGTTTTATTCTTTAGTTAGACAACATCGACATTAAAAAGAAGCTAATGAAACAGATACAAAAATCCACAAGTGTTAGCTTATGCGGCATCGCAAATATAATATTTATAATTATTCCAAAAGTTTTTACGTATTAGTAAATATACAAATATAAATAAAAATAAAATTCATGTTGTTATGCATAAGAAGTTGAAGTCCCTGCGTAATAAATTTTCATAGGTGGCGATGTGGATGATGTGGTTAAATGGAATAAATGTTTGGTGAGCAAAATGTTGCGTGGCCTGGGTATTGGTAGTCTTATAGTTTTAACTTGGATCGTTTATTTGAATTGGTGTGACATTTTAGGTTTGACCCAACATATATGTGGGTGGCTGTTGTTAAATCTATTTATAGGGAGAATTGTTGTATTTGTAATGCTCGTTTAAAAGGTATTGATTTCCCTTTGGCTTGTAAGCATACTCTAGGAGATGGGATTCCATTTCATTTTGGTATGTACTCGGTGTGTAACGAGACCGTTTAAACTTTAATTACCTAAATTGTACGTGCTTGATAATGATAAAGAGTGTCCCATTGCTGGCAGACTGTCTTTGGGGGGATTGTGGTTCGGTTTAAAGAAGAGGTCAGGATATTCATTTTTTGGCTATGGTGGGCCAAATTACTAAATTTGTACCATTGTGTTATCTAAGCATAGTGATCGATGGTCTTGGTCTCTTGATGGTTCTGTTGGGTTTACGGTTGCTTCGACTCACATGGCTAACAATTCAAAAATTATAGATCTAAGATGGAACAAGCTTGTCCCAATCAAAATTAATATTATGTTGTGGCGCCTAGGGTTTGATTAAACTCCCTACTCGACTAGAATTGGAGAGAAGAGGTTTTGATATTGTCTCAACTTTATATTCTAACACCTCTTTACAAGTTAAGACAATCAATCATTTATTTTTACATGTGATTTGGTTGTCGATCTTTGAACTTTATTGGCGCGTTGGTGGGATTTGGATATTCATGTTATTTCTAATTTTTGTCGAGTGGATTGCTTCGATCGATGTTGTTAGGCTTTCAGATATGGTCCTGGTTTGTTTTTTCTCTCAATTAATACATCGGAAGGTAGATTTATGGGACTTTATAGTTTCTCAATCATATATTTGGATTATAGCTAAAAATTCTAAGTTTTCTCTTAACTTGGTAGGGTGATTTCAAAATATAATTTTTGTAATTGTTTCCGTGTAGTTTTCTGGATTTTGCTAGTTTTTTATAATATACCGACATTCAAAATATATATTTCACATATAATTTTTTGACGTTGATTAATTTGATATTTTAGTTTTAAAACTGAATGAAATATGTTAATAGAATATGTGAAAACTAATCATGTAAAACTATCACTATTAGTTCAATGATATACAAAATTTCAAAACTTAGAACAAGAATTTTTGACAAAAGGATAATATTCCCAACTGTAAAACAAAAAAGAGATGGGAAATTTTCGGTGTATCTTATTCATCACATCATCAGGGGATTTATACAAAGGGTTTACAATAACTATGAAAACTATAATATGGAAATTATAATTACAATAAAAGAATGGATATAAAGAATCAATCCTCTAAATAGCTCTCGTCAACACCAACAAATCTACCAAAATTTGAACACCATAAGCCAAAATAAATAAATAAAAGGAATGTTTCCATGAAAAGAAGTAAAACATATAATGGGATACATATTTATTTCCTAATATAAGTCTTAAGAAAGTACACAAGAAACAATCACCTGGATTATTTAGAATTTAGGAAGAGGCTACCAATGTGTACAATGATCGTTCTATAGCTTGATAGACAAATTACATGGGTTTTATTTTCTCTTTTTTTAATCCTTAATGCAGTGTAGACGACCTAGGCTGCATATGAATACTCTATATCTGCTCAAGAGAATAATGGAAAATGTATGATGTTAGAAGAGCTAAACAAAAATCCAAAAAGAAAAATAATGGAGTATCATGCAAAAGATGACTACCTCAAAATATATAATGATACACACTAAATATGTAATAATATGATCACTAATTTTGAAGAGGAATAAGAGGAATTACATGTAGAGAGATAACAAGCTCTTAGGGTACAAGATATTATCAATTTCCTTAGGTTTTGTTGATATTTTAGTGTTATCAACATATTTTGATGTAATTATTATTAATATTGAGATAGGCCGAGCTTCATTTACTAACCGAGCTTGGAGGTGTAGGGTGCACATTCAGTGTGATAAATGTGAACTCGGGAGTATGGAGGTTTGGGGGCAGTGCCCCTGGGTGCAGGGTTCCAAGGGGATGCAACCCCTTGGTGGGGTCTAGGGGCAGCCCCCCTAGTGGTATCCAAGGGGCAGAGCCCCTGGCGGTGGT